TCACGTCGATGATACACCAATTCCGACTGTGAATAACTTCAAAATACTCGGAGTAACCTTCGACAGTCTGCTCTCCTTCTCTGCGCACGCAACCGCTATTGTCAACAAAGTACAGAGCCGCAACAATGTCCTCAAGTCGCTAGCCGGCAGTATTTGGGGCAAAGGCAAAGAAACGTTGCTGGCAACATACAAGGAAATAGGCCGGCTGGTTTTAAATTACGCAGCACCAGTGTGGTCGCCGGGGACTAGTAGGACGCAGTGGATGCAGCTGCAGACGACGCGAAAGACCGCACGACGGACAGCGACTGGATGCCTTCTGATGTCGCCTGAATACCACATGCACGACGAGGCGGAATTGCTCCGCGATCAAGGAGCACAATACAATGCTCTACAAGCAGTTCCTTGTTGGGAGCCATAGACGTGGTCACCCAAATGGACAACTTTTTGCAGAAGAGCCCTCGCCCAGGCACGTCAGGAGGCATCTCTACGAACTGACGGACGTTCATTAAACAACCTCTGGACCCGTCAGCCTACCGACAGGCCCTGAGCGGCATTCACTGGCAATCAGTCTCGAGTTATGTAGACTCCCGCCCTGTGAATGTCGTTATAGGCACACAACCACCGGACATTGACGAGACGGAGCTTCATCTGCCTCGGGAGACTAGAACCACAATAGCCCAACTTCGCTCTGGCTACTGCAGCAGGTTAAACTCATACCTGAGCAGACTAAACGCAGATGTACCAAATGAGTGTCCGGCATGCGGAGAGAAACCCCATGACTCGAAACATCTCTTCGTATGCCCGGAGAACCCGACAACCCTTACGCCTTTGTCCCTGTGGACCGACCCTATTGAGGCTGCACGCTTCTTAGGGCTGTCGTTAGTGGAACTTGACGACAACGACTGAGATATTAACCGATATTGGCTTGGTTGTTGTAGCCGCTACTACAACAACAACAACAACAACCGCCTACGAAGAAATACTACGCAAAAATACTGTGGACGCAAGTGAAAATTGTAACTTTAGGCGATTTTTCTAACGAGTCCTTAGGGATCCATAGGGGGCCTACGTGGTCGGAGGTTGCATTTTTGGCAATGGCGGTTCATGAAAGGCCGCTCACACCAGGCGATTGTTGCTTTCAACTAAAAGTTGACTGTAAAATCGCCTCATGTAGCCTGTAACCAACCGGTGCACACTACCATTCGGTTAGCACCAAGTTCGATCCATCGCCCAAGATGCAAAAAAAAAAAATTGTTGATGGTTCCCTGTATTTGGTTGAAAACGCACACTATAAATTGGAGGAGAAGCTGTCGTACATTCCCAACGGGGCCAGAAGCGCTCCATTAGTGCTATTGGAGCGCTCCATATTCAGCAGTGAGCGCTCCCTTCCTAATTTCACACTTCATTGTATTTTAACACTGGGTGCCATTAGAAAGAAGCGCTCCCTTGCTGCTCCCAAAGAAGCTCTTGGCGAGCGCTTCAACTAAAGCATTTAAAAAGCGATGCATGCAAATTTTAATTTTTATATTACATTTTTGTTTTAATAAATAATGGTTTTTGTTGAAGTTGAAGGCTTTATTAAGTGTACTTATTGTTCTTCTTTTCTGTGTGGTATACATACGAAAATGCATACATACATACATATATGTTTGTACATAAATTACCCTGCAAACCAAAGTTCCCGAAATCTTAAGGAAATCGTTAGGAGTATCTCATTTCTGTAACGATTTTTTTACGAATTTTCAAAGAAAATTATATGAAGTGGTTGACACGAACTCGTAAAGAAATTTCTGTAGGAAAAATAAAGAAAATTCTGGAAAAATTCTGAAAGATATTCTTCACATAGCAGCATTATTTTCGTTGCTTCACAGATTTTCTTCCGAAATTTCGTAAAATAATGGAAGTGTGCGTAATTTATTTCATTTTAGAAAATTCGGCAAAAAATCGAATTAAATCTTAACGAATTCTTTAAAATTTCTTTACAATGCTGAATACTCTGAAAAATGGTTTGCAGGGTAACTACATATTTTTCAAAAGAAAATATTTTATATTATTATTCTAAATGCTATTTATTTCTGAGCATTGCTAGAAATTTAAAAATTTATTTTTTACTTTGCTTTTTTACTGCTCCCTGCTTGCGCCTTTAGGGAGCAGCTAACTTTCAGTCCCGTTGGGTTGCTCGTAACTCGGCCTCATAAATACATATCTACATACATACATATCGTCGTTTAAAGTACAAAACCGCGTGTCATCGTTCTGCACAAACTTGATAACCGCTAGACCAATTTCTCCCAAATTTCGCACAGTTGTTGGCCTTAATAAAACATACCAATCGGCGGAAAATTTTTAAAATCGGACAATAACCACGCCCCCATCCCTTATAAAGGTAATTTAGAACCGAAACCTTCGATAAATCATTAACTACAGAAGCTACATTAGTCAAAATTAATGTTTGCAATAACTCTTTAGCAAAAAACACGTTTATGATAAAATTTTGGAAAATGGGCGTGGCATACCCGTTTATGACCAGGTATGTATATCTCGGTAACCGTTTGATCAATTTATACCAAACTTGGTACAATTATTTCGCTTACCACATAAAAGCTAAACGTTAAAAACTATTGAAATCGGACTAAAATTACTCCCACTTTTCATATAACGGTAAATTTTAGAAATTCTTGAAACTTTAGTATTTCGAAATTTAAGGATGCTAATTAACCTAAAATTTATACCAACAGAAATCCCTTGAAAATAGGGAACATTATTGTAAAATTTTTGAAAGTGGGCGTGATACCGCCCACATCTAACTATATAAGTTTTTCCCATTAGGTATAACTGAACATACTATCGAAATTGGTAGACATAGGAGTAAAACCACTATATTTACCATGTAACGGTAGTTTTCAGAAAGGTGAAAAACTAATTTAATACTTGCGCCGGGTATTTAATGTTCGGCTAAACCCGAACTTAGACTTTTTTACTTGTTGTGTAATAATTTGGTCTTCGAAAGTCCTTGTAAATGGGACTTCTAGGACCCTGTTTAAAACGGGGATTAAAATAACTCCCAAATATGAACTTTTTTCGGTTCGGTTCCTCAAAATCATTTGCCGTACAATTTCAGGGGTCCATTAAACAAATGAAGTCCCAAAAATTAAAAACGAGATGTGTTTTATAACACAGATACCAATACATTCTCTTAAAACCAGAAACGAATATAATACCTTCATATATAACATAAATCACTTATATAATAGTGATGTACAAACAATTTTCCTTAAAAATACGCATACTTTTAAAAAATATTTGTATTAACACATTTTCCAATAGGACTGCGTACTACGAAATAGAAAATATAATAAGTATTAATAGGATCGCGACAGTTCAACAGGTTTTGACTATTTTTCTTTTGTCTGTTATTTTTTTACAAAATTATAGCTCATTGTCTAAAAGACCATATAAATCCGAGTTTCAAACTTTGTGCAAAAATTAAAAAAATTGTGCAACGTTTCACATAAATTGCAAACTTTTCAATTAGAATCTCCAAAAAAAAACGTTTAAATTTTAGTACATGTAATAAAGTGCGATTTTTAATTTGCTAAAAACTACGTTGAGTTTTGGAATTTTTTTTTCTTGACAGTGTAAAGCAGTTCCTTCCTTATAAAGATATTTTTCGAACCTACTTTGAGACATTTCTCCAACGTTGCGGAGCGCTGCCAGCTTTTCTTTTTATCACATCACGATTTAGCGAATAAAAGTGGTTCGTTCCACAAACTGCTACTACCCTATTCTCAAGTAAATGTAATCAACGCCTCAGAAACTTTAAATGCACTGAAATTCATTAATACTTTCACAAATCTCCGATTTTTAACATTTTCTTTATTAATTCTTTTTATAAATCATATACTTTGCATTCTAAGGCAATTGAAGCACGTTTCCTGTCGAAAAATTTAATATTAAGAAAATTTACTCTGACAGTTTATTTTTATTTTATTTTATGTTTACTTTTAAATCTGTTAAAATGTTTCATCGCCGCCGGAAATGCGGAATCTTGTATTCTCTTATTCTCGTTAACATATTGTGTGTAGTGTTGGACAATTTTTGCTGCCAAAATAAAAAAAAAACAACAAATATTATGTCGAGCAAAAAAAAAACGCGAATATGTGGTAGACTTCAGACCTTGTGTGGTAGAAGTGGTAGGAGCTCAAAAAAGTGGTAGTTCTACCACAATGTGGTAGAAATCCGATCACTAATTGGCATATGCTACAATAAAATCGATACAATAAAAAGCAGGGACGTGAACCGGTTTTGAACCGAACCGGTTTTGAACCGGAAAACCGCTTTTTTCTATTAATTAACTGAACCAATAACCGAACCGATATTTTCCACAAATGTTTGATCCGAACCGAAACCCGAACCACTTTCTTTAAAGGTTTAAAGGTTCGTTTCAACCAATTTTCAATAGATAAATGTACCCACTTTTTATCTTTTTGTTAAACATGATAATACCTACCACCGCGTTGTTGCACTTGACACTTGACACTTAAATTTGCGCGTTATTTTTTTTTGTTTTTCGAACCGTTGAACCGAACCGAGACCCCGGTTCAGAGACCAAAAAAACCGCTTTGACGAACCAATCCAAAAGTGCAACAACGGTTCGAGCCGCTGAACCGAACCGACCAAATTTTACATCCGGTTCACGTCCCTGATAAAAAGTGCTGCCACATCAAAACTGAAGCATGAACTGAACATGAACAGAACTGAACATGGTCGCGCACAAAAAATTGATTTGAAGGGGAAAAATCGCAAAAAATCTCCCAAGGCGATTTTCTAAATTTGTACGCACAAATATCCAAGAAAATGGCCAAATTGGCGCTAAATCGCCTAATCTGGACACTCTGATCACAATTGTGCAATAACAATAAATAAAATTTCTTACATAAATTTACATTCGGTTTTAGTTAATACATAGATAACTTAAAAAAAAATTTCTAATCTTTTAGGTGTAAACTTATGCGTAGAAGTCCATTTTGAATCGGCAGAGAGTGGATTTTTCCTAAAACATTCACGTCAGCCGCCTATTGCGCCCGAAATATCAATTCAAACGTCATCTGCCACTCCAACCAAAGCAAGGACATCATATGATTCGGTCTTGTCTGTTGATCGTTTCACGGTGGTTCAGACAACCGAACCCGTATCTATCAGAGCTAGCTATGGTCCATTTTCAACAAAACAAACAGTTCCAGCGCGTTATATTGTTCCGGACATTTTGGAAAATCAAAACAATAGTCTCAATGTAAGTGATTTGCAAAAGAAAGAAAACTGAAGTATTTTTTAACCGACTTCAAAAAAAAGGGAATGATAGTGTCGCAGAGGCGGTCCTATACTAATCTGATTTAGATCCGATCATTGGATCATGAAAAAATTAACGGTACTCCTAAATTTTTATATGAGATTTGAAGTCGGTTTTTTTTGCGCTTAAAAATTACTTGTTTATCAATTCATTCAGTAGTTTCCGATGTTATTGATGACTGTTTAGCTACATACATATAGTCAAAATAATAAATTTCTGGTATTGTGAAGCAATCTCCTGGCTTATAACCAGCGTTGCCATTTTAGCCGTTTTCCGGCTAGATTTAGCCGGTTTTGATAGCAACTAGCCGGAGAAAATTCGATCTAGCCGGCAGCCGATTTGTAAAAAAAAGTTAGCCGTTTTTAGCCGATTTTACTATTTGCCTAATTTTAAGGTGCAAAAAGTAAACAAGTTGTTCGAAAGCAATAATGCAGACCCAATGAAGATTTTTAATGAACTCAATGTTTTACTTTCGCATCTATGCTCCCTAGTGGTTATTAGCGCGGACACATTTGATCCTATATGCTCCCCGTTGGAACCATACCTTGCTCCATTTCCTCAGTTTTATCACAGTTTTGAGGAGTATTTAAAAACAAAAGTAAGCACAAACGCTTTTGACCACGAAGCCGAGAAAATAATTCGAGAAAATGGTCGCTATTTTATTATCACTTTAATAAAGGAATTACGCCAACGCCTCCCTACAAATATTGCCACACTAAAAAAAATTTACTTTTTTCGGTTGGAAATGCATTAAGAGTAATTAAACCAAAAGTATTTGTTCAACTACAGCAACAAAAACACAAATATAATGCCGACGAAATAACATCCATAGAGATGCAGTGGCAACGGTTAACGTTACATACCTGGAGTAATTTAGACTCAACTGTAAAATTTTGGGCCGAAGTTTATCAATTTCGAAATGCCCTAGGAGAAAACCTTTTGCTGACCTTTGCAGCCTAGTTTTTAGTTTTCTTGTTTTGCCTATAAGTAATGCAGAAGTAGAGCGAATATTTAGTTCAATGAATAAAATAAAAACTAAGCAAAGAAATCCAATGTGCGTTAAAACGTTAAACGCTATTTTATATATAAGATACGGTTTAAAACGTGAAGAAAAATGCTGCCATAATTTTACTGTAGATGACGATCTCTTAAAATTAATGAATTCAGGTGATATATACAATAGTGATTCATTTGATGATGAGGAATATACACTCGATATAAATTAATGGTGTTAACTAGTCTTTCGTTTCTTGCGATTTATTTAAATAAAGCATGTGGATTTTCACTAAAACATTTTAGCCGTTTTTTGCCAGAGTCTATGTGAAATTTCACTAAAACATTTTAGCCGTTTTTAGCCTCTTTTTTTTGCCAATCTAGCCGGTCGGCCCAAAAAGTTCTGGCAACACTGCTTATAACCCATCGATAACACTGTAGGGACGCTAAAATGACACAAAAAACACTGAAACACGTAAACTTTATTTTGGGTCGTAATTTACGCAAGATATCTTCATTTAAAGTTTGCATTGTGAATTAAAAAATGAAACTTTAACAGGGAAAATAATAATAAGAGATCTTTTGTTTATTATTTTGATTGTGGTAAACCATGTTCTTTTTTTTTATCAACGAAGAATATTTATTGATAAATAAAGTTGTAAATGGTCAAATGAAAATGTGTAATAATTTCTTTTTTATGAAATATGACTAGGAAAGAATTTTACTCATACGCCATGCATGAACTGTTAATGAAATCGTTAATTTGGATGGAAACATTTTGTAAAGAAATTATTACGCATTTTCATTTGACCGTTTACAACTTTGCTTATCAATCAATTTTCTTCGTTGATAGCTTGATGTTGTTGTAAAAGAATTTTCTTTCACAATGCAAACTTAAAACGAATAGCCTGATCTAGAAAAACGGTATACGGATTACGTGTTTCGGCGTTTTTTTGTGTAATTTCAAAACTTGAATTTTTCCTTACAGTGCACAGAAGGCCAGAAGGCATTCAAAAACGTCCATAAGTCAACTTTAGAACTTAAATTTTTTTTTGCTAATAGCCAAAACATACACTATTTAAGGTAACTGTTAGTAAAATATTGTAGCAGTATGTCTTAATATTGTGGCCACAATTTCATTTTGATTAGTTGTATTTGAAATTTACCTTTTGTCTTTTGTTTTTTATTAATAAGATGCAGTAAAATAAGAAAATAGAAAAACATAGTTCTAAATAGTTTTCGCTTAAAATAATTCGACATCTTTCATTGAGTCAGGCGTTAATTTTTATGAATTGTGCTCGTTGTCGTTTAGCAGTACTCCTGTGCACCATCTCAAATCACAAAAACAAAACATGAAATCTATTTTGCATTAAATGCACTTTAAGATAAATTTGCTCAATTTTGCACATTTACAAATTTTTTATTTTATCCATCTTCTCCACTGGTGCTGTAACCGCGTGAGCGATTTTGGTTCGACCCGCTATATTTGTTTATCATACCTATAGATAATTAATTCTAAATTTTTATTTTTCCGAGTTGCTGAGGCAAATTCCGAGATGATGAAGAATAAAGCATAACTGACGATTCATCCACACTTAAATTTTGTTTTATTATAAAACTGAAATTTAAAATTGTTTCTTTCTTAGAGAAGCATTCCTTAATTTAGTGAAATTTAAAAAATACCTGAAAAATAAAAATAAATAAAGAAAACAAAAACTAATAACATATAAAAAAAATGCAATTCGTAACTGGTAAAAGATAACAGATATGAAAAACAAAAAAATGGAAAATACAAACAGAAATGAAAAAGTGAAGCCTGAATGCGTAATTGGTAAAATAATAAAAATATATATAACAAAAACAAAAAAAAAAAATGAACACAATATCCCCTAAGGACTTGTGACAACCCTCGCGATGGCCTGCTCCTTTGAGAGAAGGGAACTTCGGGACACTTAAAAGCGACTGTGCTACGTGTGGAGATAGCGGCTTGAAGCTTTAACCCAATTGAATTGAAGTGAACAAATTAAAACAATAACAGACAAACGAAACCGACGTACGGACAAATGCAGCGTATTCAGCAAGAGCAGTAGAGTTGTGCGCTCCCCGCCACAAACTCCTCTACAGGCAAATCCTGGCACCGCGAGCACGGAGAAAGCTGCCGCCGTGGCGCAGAAGGCTACACCTTGCCAAACGACAACTCCCGGCAGCCGGGATGGTCGTCATCAAACACCAGCTGCTGCAAACAGCGACAAGCACGTCACCGCAAGCTTGAGAACTTGCGAAGGCATTGAAGATGAACAATTGGCCCAGATTCGGCTCGTCTTGAAGAAGATGCAGAGTGCTGTCCCCAAGCAGAAGAATGTGTCCATGGACATAAAAACGGGTATGGCCCAAATCGAGGAGAGCTTAAATATACTAAGCAATCTCCGAGAGCAACGCCGGAAAAGATCTACTCTTTCCGAGCTCGACCTCGATCCGACTCCCCTACAGGCGAGCTGGAAAATAAAAAAGCGTGGAAAACCGCACCAATTAATCAATGGATAACGGTTGATAAACGAAGAAAGCCCTGGCCAGGGCCAGCGCCAGGTGAACCCCTGGCCAATAAGGGCGAGGCGACCAGCCGAAAAAAAAGAAGAGGGTGAGAAAAAAAGAAAAGTCTCGCCAAACTTATCATTAAGCCAGCTGAAGGCAAAACCTATGCAGAGGTGCTGAGAACGATAAGTGGTAAGCTCAACCTGAGAAGACGGAGACCGTAATTCGATCTGTTCGGAAAAGCCGCAAAGGGTGCGTGTTTATCGAGATGGAGAAAGGTGGCGACCACTCAGCATTTAAGGAAGATGTGTGCACTGCCATTGGTTAGCTTGGAGACGCCCGTATCCTCACTAGACGCTTACGTCTAGAAGTTCTGGGCATGGACTGCTTAACCACGGTCCCGGAAGTGGAGAACATTATACGCGGGGAATTAGGATGAAATATGAATGTCCAACTTCGCGTCTCTCTCGCTGTAAACTCGCGAGAACAAGGAATGGCAGTGGTGGAAATCGACGAACTGCCAGGCCGAACTCTTATTTAAAAGGGGAAGTTGCGAGTAGGTTGGATTATCTGCCGTGTCCGAGAGAGCGAGACAGTTCAAAGGTGTTTCCGCTGTCTGGGATATGGCCACAAAAAGGCGGCATGTAAAGACCCAGACAGAAGCCGGTCATGCTGGAAATGTGGTCAGCAGGGCTACATAGCATCTGCATATAACGAAACCCCAAGCTGCTACTTGTGCTCAGCGGGAGATGGCCAGCAAAATTTGAAACACCTGCCCGGGTCGGGAGGGTGCCATGCCTTCAGGGATGCCCTTGTTGAGGCTAAGACAAAGCTTGGGCGAACATGATTAAACTTATACAAGGCAACATCAACAGGACTAGGGTAGCTGATGACCTGCTGGACCAATTGGTTCTTAAACAAAGAACAGACGCTGTCATTATCAGCAAACCCTGTAGAGCTAAGGAAACCTGGCATGTTGACCAATCAGGCTCGGCCGCGATATGGATTGCTAACCCCAACCATCGCGCAGAGAGCAGCGGGGTCGGACGTTGCTACGTCTGGGTAAAAATGGCGCAAATCACTCTGGTGAAGGGAGAAGCTCGAAGGCCTTGAAGCTGGGTTGCGTGATATAACCGGACACTTAATTGTTGCTGGAGATTTCAACGCAAGAGCCGTGTAAATTGGATACTCGATCCCTGACATAACTCTGGTTTCAGAAAGCCTTCTTCGAAGGGCTGACGCATGGAGAGTGATGGAAGACCTGAGTGGTAGCGACCATAACTACATCACCTTCCAAGTCACTGACACAACGCGAGAGCAAACACGTAGTATCCCTCGCAGGAAACCAGGATGGGTCGATGCTCACAAGTTCGACACATCACTCCTAGCAAGTTCCAGGGCGTCTTGTGCTCAGCTGG